ACTACACTAAAAGTAGACAGACAGTGGGTTTTCTGTATCTAGTTTAAACAAAGATAGCTGGATTCTTATATATATTCCTGTGTTCAATCTGTCGTAGAACATTGTCTTGGCTGAAGCATAAGAAGAAAATCCAGTTTTATACATGTATCTAACTTGGAAAATGGAGGAATATTTTAATAGCTTTTTCTTATAACTGGATATTCTTGATACTACACTAAAAGTAGACAGACAGTGGGTTTTCTCTTTCTTTTTTAGTCCACAAATGGTAGTTTCTTAAAAGTTACTTGTAATGTGGAATCTGAAACCTTATCAGTAAACTTTTGTAGTTGACTGCATTAAAATCTCTTTGTTGTATCATGCATTTTGAATAGATCTTTTACCCATGTATAAATTTTGTGATATACATATGCACTGGTTATTTGGAAAATATTGGTTCACTGAGTTATGTTGACACATCTCATTATAAAATAACAAATAATCACATTCACTAATTTCACCACCAATCTTATCAGAAAAATCTATAAATACTAGGAAGCTGTCAAGCTTATATAAGATGGGAGAGATACAAGTTTTCTAAAATTCTAATTTTTACTTTAAAACTTGCAATGTATCTACTATCAAATTTCTTCTCTTGAAGTGACAGGTTCACTTTGTTCATTTTTGATAAAATGTCTCCCGAATACTGAAGTCTGATTAAATATAGTTTATCTGTCAGTGATTCTTTCACATAAAAATGGTGTTTGCAATTCAGACAACCGCACAAGAGTTTTCTCTCAAGTCGACCATCACACTTTGCTATGTGGCAGAAGAGCCTTATGTGTAATTCCTGTTTCATCACACAGAATATTAAAAAGACCTGTACTCGAGGTTCAAGCTTTAAGAAAATAAATGTTTAATGGTTCATGAAGGACACTCATGACATTCATAAGTGCAGCTGCCCTTTTTATTCTTGTAAGTACATGGTGGTGAAAAATACAGTGACTACTGTTATGGTTGGCACCACTGCCTTGATTCATGCCAATCCTTACTTATTTTCAAATGGTCTAACTCAATTACAGAAAAACAAAAAATAAGACCAAAGGGATTTTGTTAACATTAATTTTCATCTTGAATTCGGCAACTGAATGTAAAGTTGAGGGCATTGGCTTGAGACAATTATAAAATACATGAGCTTCTGCTTCTTGGTATATTTTCATCATCTTCTAAAACTCCCTTAGCCCAAAGATTTGTAACTGTGTCAGCTCTCAGGAGGTTTTATGCTAGATCTGAATGTAATAAAACCAAACTCGTTTCACTCTTCTAAAAAACAAAACAAAACAAAACAAACCCACCACTTAAGTCAGAGAGGTAATAAAAAAGCAACTGTACTTTCTGATGATTTCCGTGGGACAAACCCATTAGAGGTTCTATGATCATAACAGTTTTATAGGAAAAGCAGTAAAGGCCATAAAATGGGGTATGGATCTTGAAAGTAACCAATGGCAGGAGTAATTATCCTTACCTAACATCCTTCCCTACAGTCATAGCAGCAATCACTTTCTTCACAGCCTCCTTCCTCTTTTCTTTCTTTTCATTGTTGAGTTCAGCTTTTAATTCAAAGATTTCTCCTACAAAAGATGAGAACACACTGGTGAGGTCCCAGGATCAGAGAACCAGAGCAGAATACCGCACTATGTAACAACTAATAACAGGACAGCAGAGTAACGAATGAAATAAGATTATTAAAAAAATTACACAATATGTAAAATTCAAAGCCCTAGAATATTAACTGACCCACTAATAAGGACACCACCAGTAAATTTTTAAAACCTTTTAAGTTATGGCCTGAGAGGAAGGTGCAATCCAGATCTTTAGGAACAATAAGAGTGGGAAAAAGCGAATCTGATATCTAACTACAATGAAAAGAGAAGAGTATCTGAAGGATGATCTCCCATCAGAATTTTAAGGTCCCGAGAAGCATATAAATGCGAGCAAGGAGAGGATTAGAAATCAGTGTTTCCATCCAGAAGAGACTCAACATATCATCTCATTTACTCAGTCTTGACTTCACAGATAAAAGAAATGAGGCTCAAAGTTGACAGAGTAAGTTAGTGACAAAGCTGGGCTTAGCACAGTGTCTGCTGACTCTTGAATCCAAAGGTTCTCAACCTTGGCCACACACTAATATTACCTGGGAAGTATCTAAAAATAACAATGCTTGGGCCCCACTCTGGACCAAATAAATCGGCATGTTAAGGAGAGCTCCCAAAAGTGATTCTCATGTACAACTAGGGCCGAGAATAACCATTCTAATCAGTATTTTAATAAGTTAATGGCCTTACAGCCCCATCCTATTCAATCAATCTAATAAGAATAATCTTGAAGCTTCAACAATGGTACAAACCAGAGTCATTTCTAAAGGTATAATCTCGAATGACTGCGTAGGCCCTGCACTGTGAAATGCAAGGGACTGTAACCACTATTTTAAGGCTCCAGGCTCATCTATCTTTGAGATGCTGGAGTCAAAATAAAAAAGAAGGTGACAATGCTTATCTTGTTTAAAAACAAAGGAAAAAAACTCCGCACCACTAAGTCCATGAAAAAGAGGTTACCTACTCCCACCTCAACCTTTCATCTATACCCTCAAACTCATCTACAATATTGCCTCATTTTCCTCCACCTTCAAGACTGTTCTTGATGCTCCTTTTAACCAGACTTCATTCATCAGTGTATTATAGAAATAATGGGGACAGAATGCTGTGTCATCTGCCTGAAGCCCCTAAATGGCAAGGATGAAACTGACAACACACATAGCAGTAAAGCACTTAAAAAGCTGCTTCATAAATACCCATTGCCAATAAGGCAAAAAATTGTTACAAAATCGCTATTTAATCAATAGCTGCAAAAACAGCACAGCCAGAAAAGCTGGGCACTTTAAAGAGTCATTCTCTTCTTCACCAAGCCCTATGCTGCCAAATACAGATCTTAGGGTTCCCATCATTCACTTCTGGGAACAGTAAAGGACAAACAGCAGGGTTTCAGAAAGTCTGAATTGTGAATAGCAGCAGCTGTTGCAGAACCAAAGCAGGATGTAACTGAAATTATTCCAATTCTAAAAGCATAAACTTAAAGAATATGTTTCAGTGGCAGTTCTAGTGGGCGTTGCAGGAAGCAAAAGGAACACAGTCTATCCAAAGTTTTTAAAATGTGGCATTTATCCGCAGTGATTCAATCTGTAAGTCTCAAACTTTAATAAATGGATAAAAAAAGATCACCTGGACCCCTCACAAGAGAAACTTTGAAGAGTTAGGTGAGTTTTTAAATTATATCCCTTTGTCATTATAGGTAATACATTGGTCATCAAAGCACACAAAATGTCAACAGAATAATAAATAAATATGTTTATAAACAATAAGAAAATCAGAAAAAGCTGGGAATGAATGACAAGGGGCTAATGGCTTTTGTGAAGTGTAAGTAATAAAAATAAGGAGGAAGAATTTGGGTGGGGCCAAAGACAGGCACTAAGAGAAGCAAAGTATCTCATGTACACTACAACTCTATTAAATTCTTATATTTTTTCCCTCCTCCTTCCCCTAATGAAATCTACCAAGCACTGCTAGTAGCAAGCAATGGTTCTCATTCTTGGCTACACACTAAAATAATCTGGGGAGTTTTAAAATCCCCACACCCAGACCATATCCAGGACCACTGAAATCGGGGTATCTGGGGTTGAGACTCAGGCATCACTATTGTTTTAAAGTTCTGTGGGCAATTCCAATGTGTAGCCAAGGTTGAAAGCCACCATCTAGTAGTTGACATAACCAAGCAACTCACTATGAAATCTTTTGTATTAAAGTAAAAAACTTGTTTACCTATACATAGCTCCAATGACAGAACAGGACAGACTGCTTGAGCTTTTGGGAAATACTGGTGCTCCTTCCTCACTCCAGGCCGCTATAGTATGCCCTCCTACTTATTTTTTTTTAATTTTTATTTTGAAATAATTTCAATCTTAAACTTGCAAGATTCCCCAATTGTTAACATTTTGCCACATTTGCATTCTCTCTACATATTCCCATTTTTTTCCTGTACCATTTAACAGTAAGCTGCAGATATCATACCTCTGTAGCCCCAAATACATCAATGTTTTCTAAGAACGAGGAAATTCTCTTATATAAACATAATACAATGATCAAAATCAAGAAATTTAACATTGATTCGTCATTATCTAATCTATAGACCTGATTCAAAGGTCTTAATAACGTCCTTTACAGCAACCGGATTCCAGCCCACTCCCACCTCTGGTCAGAACGCGGTTCAGGAATATGCATCACATTTACTGTCATGTCTCCTTAGTCTCCTTTAATCTGCAACAATTCCCTTGTCTTTCACGATGACTTTTTTTTTTTAAGTACAGGATGGTTATTTTACAGAATGCCCTCAATTTGTCATTGGCGCTCCCTCATGATTACACTGAGGTTATGCATTTTTGGCAGGCTAACTCATAAGCAATTCTATGCCCTTCTCGATGGATCACATCAAGAAGCAAATGATGTTAGTTTATCCCACTATTGGTGATATTGACATTGAATATGTGGTTAAGATGGTAAATGCCAGATTTTGATACTGTATATATTTTTTCCTTTGTAATTAGTAGTTTGTGAAAAGATATTTTTAGAATATGTATTCTGTTCCTCATCAAGGCTTTCATGTGCTAGCTTTAGCATTCATTGATGACTCTTGCCTAAATTATTACTATGATTGTATGTATGTACACACAAATTTATTATTCAATAGCTTATAATCTATCACTATGGTCACTTTTTTGTTGTTCAAATTATCACAAATTTGGCCAGTGGAAGCCCCTTCACGCTATGCTCTCCTTGACATATCCCCAACATTTTTTGAGCACTTTCTTACTTTCTGGCACAAGATGTTCATGTTCATCTTGTACTTTCCCTTGACCCTGTCCTGAAATCAGTCATTTCTTCAAAGAGTCCTGGTTCCTTTTAGTGGGAAATGGTACTTAGAAACCGAGATCTGGATAGTAGGCGTCCTTTGCACCTACTCTGACTTGGAGGAAATTGGGATATTTAATCAGAAACCCCACCAGGATTAGAGTGTTAAGAAAACACGACTCATGCATAGTAGACACTTAATAAATATTTACTGAATAAATGAATGCAATGAATAAATGGAGATAAAAAGCACTCTGCAGAGTGATCAACAATCAGGCCAGCAACCATTACAAGAGAAACAAGACAGACAAATTCTGGGGCAGAGAAGTTGTCTTATTTCAGCCACCGGAAAAGAGGAGAAAAGGTACTTCTGAGAAGCCAAATTGTTGGTGAACAAGACGAAAAGAGGAATGGTAGTTTGTGTCACGTCCAGAATTCTTTGGGAAATGTAAGGACTGCTAAATACAAAAGCACAGAATTCTGATCCTGAGAAACAAATAAAGCAAGCTCAGCTGTAGGCACAATAGACTGAGAAGCTGATCTTTGATGGGAGGGCCATCCACACCTCTAGGAATGAGCTATTTGATTTAGGAACAATTTTACAAAAGATGGGAGGTTGGACTTTAGCAAGAAGAATCCTTAGTTCTCAGGCCCGCCTTCGTATATAAAACCAAGCACTACACTACTGATTACAAAGATGAGGCTCCTTAAGTAAATTCAGTCTATGACCTGAAAATTGTATTACTGACTCTACAGGTTTCCTGTTTTGTATAACCACCTAGACAGAGAACAAGGTAGATCTTTTGCCCTCCTCAGATCTCTCAATCGTCAATGGATTAGTGTTGATTTCAAACAACCAAAAGGAATCCCTTCCTTTCACTAAAACAGAACCTTCAAGTCAAAATGATGTACATCACAGTCCCATCTTTTAAAACCTATATGTTAATAACTTACTCAAATACATTTATCTGCAGAAGTAGATTTCCAATGAGATTGTCCACAACATGAATGTCTGAAGGAAGAGGTCAAGAACATTCTAATGGAGACAATCTTATACTACAACTTTTGAAAAATTTCATTGATCAGGTTCCCATACTTACCTTTTTTATTGGTTGTGAAGTACTTGGAGTCAGTCATGATTCTGGATCTTTAATGTGCACCTACAGCAAGAGAAAATGCAGCAAGGCATCCAATTAATTTTTTTTTTTTTAAGAGACAGGGTCTTGCTCTGTTATCTAGGCTGGAACTCCTGGGCTCAAGTGATCCTCCTGCCTCAGCCTCCCAAGCTGGGACTATACGCATGCGCCACTATGTCTGGCTAATTTATTTTTATTTTTATTTTTTGTAGCGATGAGAGGGTCTCATTATGTTGCCCAGGCTGGTATTGAACTCCTGGCCTCAAGTGATTGTCCTGCTTTGGACTCCCAAAGCGCTGGGATTATAGCCATCAGTCACCATGGTTGATCTAATTTTGGGTTTTTTTTATTCTGTTTTAAGAGACAAGGTCTTGCTCTGTCGCCCAGGTCGGGGTACAGTGGCACAACCATAGCTCGCCTTAGCCTCAAACTCCTGGGCTCGAGCGATCTTCCTGCCTCGGCTTACAGCTGGTACTATAGGTGCATGCTACCATATCTAGCCCAGTTAATTTTGAGAACACTTATATTTAAGAATTTCTGCATTCAAAAATAAGTATCTTCTTCCTTACCACCACTATTGCTGATTCAAGGGATGCAGAGAAAATTAAGAATGTGACTCCTGCCTCAAGGAGCTAATAGGTATAAAATCAAGGCCAAATGCAATCAGGCACTAATTTGAACCTATTATAACTTTGTGATTTTATCCACAATTATCTCCTCAAAGCCTTCAGGAGTTAAAGCTAGACCCTTTTTAAAAAAAAATCTTCAATTAGTCACTCAAACACATAAGATAAGTTTATTTGTTTTGAAAGATCTCCCCATTACTTTCCACTCAGGAAAATCTGGTTACTTCCTTGCCTCAAGTTGGAGTTACTCCAAAGCATGTACTCTGAAGCAGTGTAAGGTCAAAAGAGAAAAGAATTTTGCCAATGTATACAACATTACATGCAACTTTCAGTAAAAAGGAATCCCTTTCAGAAAAAAAAATCTAAATTAGTAGGACAATATTCTTTTACAACAAACATCTAGAAAGGCAAAACATGCCCTACACATGATTTTTTTTTTAAATTGTGGCTTTCTTATTTCTAACAATTTACATCTAGCCCAACAGTATTCCCAAAGAATAAATAATCAGTTTACAGTTAAAAATAAGGCAAAAGACTGAGATATTTGTGTATTCAGTCACACTGAGTACAATAGAGAATCAGAACTGGTGTTAAAACTTAAAAGAACGTGGATCCAGTCTCAGCTCGTCTGTCCCAGTTCCCAGGAGAATTAATCCAGCTGACACACGACTCCACTAGCAAAACAAAAACTGCACAGCTGGACTGGTCATATTGCTCACAAAATAACAAAACAATGTTTTTTGATTTGAGAAACTCTAGGACTTTGTCCAATGTACTTGATTTCTTTAACTATATTAAAATATCCCTTCTACACTCAAAAATGAGTATCTTATTCCTTCCACCATCATTAACATTACTTATTACCAACTTCAGGACTGGACACCCTAGCACCTGCCCATTACCAACAGGTCAATATAGCACGAGTGATAACACATTTGGCAAACAATGGTAAATGTGGATTTGGGAGAAAGGACTTAAGCCCCAAACAAATCAATATAATTAAAGAAACACAAAAAAAAGCCAGATAAACATAAAGTAATGAGAAAAGTCTGGTTCAAATCTGATCTCTAAAATGTGCTACTTCTACAATTTGATGGAAATGAGACCCATTTGATATCTTTCCAACCAGCTAATTACTATTTATAGTCTTGATCCTAATATAATAGTTCTTTATGTTGTACCAGAATTTTACTGAATTACCTTGTTAAAAGGAGGCAGAATTCATAAATACCATTACAGAATATGGAAATTTCTGTTTTCATATTTGTTACAATTAAAAAATGAATCTGTAACAGAGGCTTGCCTTATGTAATGTTTTCATAATGCCTTTCTAGCAAAAATTCAAAAAATGTTATAATCATTTAATCCATTCACAATGTAAACTAAATGTGAAGTGGGCAAATGAAGAAAAGACTCCTTCAGGTTAAAGATCTGCAATAAATCTGAACTTATCAATAAATTTACATGTACAAACAGAAAAATCAGTATACAGAAACGATTACTAGAGCCTGAGAGGAGGGTTACAGCGCAAATCCATTAGGGGCTGTCTAGGATGCTAGTATGCCATTCTAACTCCTATAGGAGCATCAAAATTTAAAACTTGTTTAAGATTCAGAAACAAAACCTCCTTGGAAATTTTCATGCAGTTTCTTCAAAAAAGTGCACAAAAATTGTTGTGTTTTGTTCTGTTTTCTAAAGCTCTAGTGCATATATAAACATATTAAATTCTTCACAGAAATTTTTACTACATTCTGCTAAACATTAATTAACCTAGTCTTAAAGCATGCTTTTTATTAGCAGCTCACATATTTCATTATCTCCCCTAACACATTTCAATGTCAAAGAATATACTTCTGTCCTGTTCACTGTGAGCATTACGTGTTCTTAACTGGAGAATAATGTACCCACCTAAAAAATTTCAGGGAAGAGAGGAGGGCCAAGTATCTTTAGAAGCCCATAACATAAATCCTAAATTATTACTAAGAATCCCTGCTCTAAAGAGAAGGGATAAACATACCACTGTCTTAACTGACACTGTTGTAAACAATAGTAATGAAATAATCCCCATCCATATTGGCAGAGAAATATTACACCAAGTCAGTTCCTGCCTTAAGTCAAAATAAACTCTGAGAAAAATGAAAATAGTCTAAACAAAAACAAATGAGAAGAGGTGGTGGTTATACAACACAGTGAATGTACTAAATGCCACTGAACTGTTCACTTTAACTTTAAAGTGGTTAATTTTATGTGAATTTCGCCTCAAAAATGAGATACACTTAATCACATGCCAGATAAGGACATAGCTAGATTCTCCAAAATACAGGATGGCAAAAACTGATGTATGCATTAGAAGCCACAGAAAAAGTAGACAAGATGGAGCTCAAGAAAAAAAATCCAGTATTTGCCGAAGTGCCTCAAAAATCAGTCTCCTCCTAGGGGAAGAAAAAAAAAGTTGCTTCGGGAGAGCCCCAGAAGCAAAGCCATGATGGCATCTGAACTCACACTACCTTTCTATCAGATCAAACCAGACAAATCACTGGCTGTTCTAAGGATTTACGGTATGGCCTAGGGACACTGTTAAGCAACAAAGCTGCCACAGTCAAAGCACATAATCACTCTTACTTGCCCTAAACCAGTGTGTGATGTCACCGCATCTCAGAAAGGGCCTCCCTGCACAGGATTATACATCCAGATTTAACATAACCTACTTTCTACCAAATATAGGTTGTGAAAGTCCCTCTTCTCCTGTTCCTCCCTCTCTCCAGTTTCCCAAAAGAGAAATTGAGCAGCAAAATAAGATTAATAGCTCAGTAGAATAAGGTCAGAAAAAATTTAATAGGGTCTTAATTTCAAATGGCTCTCTGAGAAATGGCAGCTAAATTAGGGTTGGTGAGGTCACAAAGCTCTTTTTTCCCAAAGTTGGGCTTTACACACAGTTCAGTGCTCACAGTGAAAAACTAGTCAAAGTTAACCAAATTATAAAGCAAAAAGGTCATTCCAGCAAACTTTTATTAGAAAGGTGAGGAGTGCTAAGTTCATTTCTAATGAAACATTCAATAATAATGCAAAGACAGCAGCACCTTCAGGTGTCATTTAGTTCATGAGAAATTATGAGACACTTAAAAGCTAAAAATCACCTTTAATTTCTAGTTAAATATGACAGACTACAAAGTAATTTGTTAATTTTATACAGAAAGCAAGCAGCTCACAAATTTTACATCCAATTTTTAAATGAAATAGCAATAAATTCTGGAAAACTTAAGCCTGGATGGAAAGAAGGAAAAGAGAAAGGAGGAGGTGTCCTATCTAATGTGTTCCTTGTTCGGCTTGGTTCAAACCTGTGCCTAACATTTAATATTCTAAAATATGGTTCTTTTAAGGAAAAAAAAAAAAAAGGATGAAAGAACTGGTGAAGTCTCTTAATACACAGTCAGAATTTTGGATTTATATTAATTTTACCGTCCTACTTTTAGTGAGGCTGTTTGCAGAAAACACACTATTCTTTCTGCTTCCTTGGGAACTTCAACTGTTAAGATACCTGCAAACAGTTCTCACCTTACCACCACGCTTAGTCATCATTGGAATGTGTTACACGTTTTCTTGTATAGCTGCATCTCCTTCATCTGCTGCTTTCTATTATTACTTTGTAAGTGTACCCTGAGGCTAAGCAATAGAAGTATACAAGGAAAGTAATTAATAATTTAAATTGTTCCTCATTGAGACCACCTTCCTTCTTAGTCGTTCCGCCTTTCTAAGCTTACTGCATTTTGTTTTCTTTTCTTTAAAACCACAATGGTTATGATAACAGTGTTTGGCAGTTTAAAAACATTTTTCTTTTCAAAAGTCAAAAGTGTAACGAAGCATTCATGCTTCATTCACAATGCTTCATAATGAAGCTGCCAAGTGAGTGCAGTAAAAGCCTGGCCCCAAATAGAACACTGCTCTGAAAACAAGCAGCTTGAATAAATTCTTTGCATTCAAAGAACACGGAAACAACAGGAAGTTCCAGTTTCTTTACTTCTAGCTTATCGACAGCCTTTACCAAACCAGACCGTTCCTGCTAAGCCCAGAAAAAAATTCCAGGCTAAGATTTACCCCCATTTGCTTACCCCTCTCTCACATTGACCCTCTCGGGTCAATTCTGGAGTTTTCTCTTCCCTTCCTAGTGTGAGGAATTCCTCTTCTTCCCCCAGGTGGTCAAGACTCTAGGGATATGTTCCTCCATTACGAGGTGGGGAACAGCTGTCTCTTAACCTCGCGTTACGGCAGACAGGCGAGGTTTGCCCATCAATAAGCAAACCTTTGGGGGAATCCCTCTTCCCTTTCGCTTGCTGGACACGTCCCAATCTCTCAAAGAACAACGCCGAGAGGGAAAGAAGGTTCTCCCCACGGCCTCTAGCCTCTCTCGGCCACACCCCTGGCCTCTGGCTCTCCTAAACCCCCAACTTCGAAACACATCTTCCCCCCCAACCCCTGCCATGCCCCCAACTACCTGCTGCCACACCCGAGAATTCCCTCACCCCACCACAGCCACCCCTTGGGGACCCTTTCTCCAACCCTTTTCTTCACAACGGTCACACCCGACGGCTCCCTCCATCCTCAACGGTCACGCTCTTAGGATTTCCTTTCCTCTGCCGGTCTCGGACCCAGCGTGGGGTTCCCCTTCCCTCTCCTCCTCCGCCATCAATTAGGGACACACCCCAAAGTCAGCCACCTTGAACTCACCGGAGGCAAGGGCGGGGTGGCGGCAGCAGCCGGAGAGCACAGCCCGGGTGGTGTTGTAATGGTTTCCTGCCCGTCACGATTCTTTCTCTAGGTCTAAGCCACTGCGCAAAACCCACTTTGCCAGGGACAAAGATGGTGGGCAGGAAACTCTGACGTCAGAAAACCTCGCCATGCGACGTCATCGGGGCGCGCGGGAGAAGCAGAAAGGAGGTGATCTTTGTCGCCTTGGAGACGGAAAAATTTCTCTTGGCCCGGGCAAGGCCTGAAGACCTGGGCCTCAGCGGATGTTCAGTGGCTATCCCAAGGGATATGTTAAACAAGCTGACATTGTCTGGATTTGTTTCCTCGCACAAGAATTCTCTGGAAAACTTAAACATAGGGTGAAATGTTCTGTTCCTTAAAAAAAAAAAAAAAAAACACCTCAGCTAATTTCCCTGGCAGGTTAAGAAGCGGACAATGATGATCCAATCCAGGAACATACGCAGGCAGTGGGGCTAGAGGAGAGTGGTGCAAGGAAAAGAGGTTGAGATGACATCAGATCTGAGTTCGAAAGTGTGCCCTGAATGTGACTGGGAAGTTGCTTAACGTCTCCTCAAACTTAGTCTTCTTATCTGTGAAATGAAGACAATGCATCTCTCTCTCTGGCACGTGAAGCTTAAACGGCATAAAGTAGGTAAAGCGCCTAGGATGAACAGGTGTGCTTAGAAAAAAGTGTCTTTCAGAAAAAAATTAAGACCTAGATTCCAGGATCTGGAACTGGAGAACAAGGTTGATGAGGGCAAATGAAACGCTGTCAATGAAACTAGCTGTCCCTAAGTTTTATTTGAGGGTGTGAGGAAGGAAGGAAAGCAAAGGGATGAATTTTTATTTTCTCACATATTTGCCCATCAACTCTGGGAGTCGAAAAGTGTATACGTATTTTAAAGCTTCATGCTTAAGTAATCGGAAGTATGTAAAAATTTCATATGTCATATTCATGTATTATTTCTTCTATTATTAAAATAGGAGAAACTGGAAACCTAGGTGTAAAACTGGAGAGAATGTAAACCTTTATGGTAAATCAGGTAGCTGCATAATGTAGAATATTTTATGAAACAAGAAAATTTATGATAAATGTTAAGTAAAAAAGGATTCAAAACAATATAGTATACAGTATGACTACATATGTATAGAAAAAAGGCAAGAATATTTAGCAAAATGTTAAAATGGTTATTGCTAGATGGTGAGAGTTTTAATTTTCTTCCCAATATTTTTCTGTACTTTCCAAATGTTGTACAGTGAACATATATTTATTTCTATGATTGGAAAATGCTTTTCAAACCATATTTTTGAAAAATATATGATGATATAGAAAAATGCTTTAAGATGATGTTAAGGGGGAAACCCCAACAAGATACAAAACTCTAAACCCAGAGAAGTATCTATACCTATTAGAGTGGTTCTATCTGGGTGGTAGATTACAAATGCTATCATGCTCTTTACATTTTTTGTATTTCCCAACTCTTTCTCTAAGAAACATATGTATTTTAAGAAAAAAATAAATAAATGCTATTTTAAAAATATACTATCAATCCAAAAGCTTTTCAGATCACATCCTCCTCCAGTTTTGTGTCAAAGTATTTCCTGATCTCCCTTTTTTCGAATTTTTGGGACTGTGTACCACCGAGGTACTTCTACCCATCTTCTTTCTGGCTCCTTTACCTCCACTATTAATTCACAGATATTTATTGAGGGCTACTGTGTGCCATGAATTGTACTAGAGACCCAACTCTAAATAAAACCTGGTCCCTATTACCAAGGTCTCATAGTCTAATGGGAGACCACTTAGGAAGTCGCTGAAATGCTCCAGCCACAGGATAATGGTGGCTTAACCAATCTAGTTAATATTTACTGAGCATTTATTCTATGTAAGTTATTCTGCTAAGTACTTTGCCATTATTATATTTTTAAATCCTCACGACCTGATAACCAGGTAGGTACTATTACTTTCTCTATTTTACAGAGATACAGGAAAGTTAATGGTGTAATTAAGATTTGAACCCAGGAAGTCTAACACTAGAACTGATAATGCCCATGTTTTAGGCTTGGGCAAGAGAGGAATCATGGTACCAGTCATTGAAAATAGGAAAATATAAGAAATGGTGCAAGTTTGGGGAAAGTTGAGAGGTGATGAGTTTATTTTTATACATGATGGATTTAAGTATAGATGTCTGTCCAAGAGGTATTTGTCTGTTTGTGTCTGAACATAAAGAATGATCTGGAATTGAATTAGATTTGTGAACTAGCAGTGTGCACATGATAATTTAATCTGTGGGAGAGGACATTACTCATGAAAAATGTGGAGAATGAGAGAGCTTGGGGCAGAAATAGAGGAAACCAAGAATGCAAAAAGGACTGAGAAGGAATAGTCAGAGAGGTGGAAGGAAAAGCAGGATACTATGATATTCTAGGATGTTTTCAGAGTTCCATGAAAGTAGGGACTATACCAGTCTGTTCACTCTTGTATACTTGAGTCCTAGCCCCCCCACCCATTAATATATGTTAAATAAATAAATGTATGAATAAGTGGTCAACAATATCAGTTGCTATAGAGGGGAGAAGGAAAGGCTGACAAGTGTCCACAGGATTTAGCAACATGGAGATGTTTGATGTCATTGCTGAGAGCATAAGTAGAGATGTGAAGGCAAAAGCCATCTCGCGATGTTTGAGGATGCATTGGAAGTGAGGAAATAAAAATAGGAGTTACAGATAACTCATGAGAAAGTGTGACTGAAGAGAGAAGAGACAGAGGATGGTATTTGAGTAAAAGACTGGCAAAGATTTGTTTTTAAATTTGGTCCTATACTCACATTTTTTCTACACTAACCATTTAGCAATAGCAGAAGTTTAATTATCTTCCATACATGCCACTCCAAAATCTCTATCTGTAGCCTTGACCTATTCCCCAAATTTCACCACCAAATTGATAACCATACTGATGGGCAATTATTAATATATAATTATGGCCCACCAAAATTAAATCATAAGGAGATAGAGAACATTAGAAAAATCTGGTGCCAGGTACAACTCCCAGCAGAGAGAGGTGGATTTCATAAAGATGTTACCAGAAAATCTTTAAGAAATTTGATGCATAACTCTTCCCTGTTCAAAACCTTTCAATGGCTTCTCATTGCCTACCATGTTCAAAAACCTCTTCTTTCCTCATTTTCCCCATCTCTATTTTCTTTCATTGGTTTTCTCATCTATAAAATATGGAAAGTAGCAGTATCCAATCATAAAACTGTTATAATATTGAACAGTGACATGAATTATTATATGTAAAGCACTTAGAATTATGCCTGGCACATAGTATGGACTATGTAAATATTTGCTATAATAGTGATTATTTCAATAAATTGCAGTGAACCACTCAAGGCAGAAACGTAGGGGTTATTCCTGATTTCTCTCTCTCTCTCAAATGCCACATCCAGTTAATCTCCAAGTTATCAATTCTACCTTCGAAATATATCTTAAATCCATCCAACTCCCTCTATTCTACCTCATGAGTCCAAACCACCATCACCTCTTGCCTGGACTACTAGAAGCTTCTAATTCTTCTCTTGACTATTCTCCATACAGCAAGCCAGGTTTTTAACTTTTTTTTTGAAGTATAACATACATTCAAAAAAAGTGCATACATCATGAATGTAAAGCTTAATATATAAATACTGTATGCCCACAAAATCATAAGAGGTTATCTTTCAAAACTATAGCCCAGCATGGTAGCTTACACCTGTAATCCCAGCTACTTGGGAGGCTCAGGTGGGAGAGTCACTTGAGCCCAGGAGTTGGAGGCTGCAGTGAGCTATGATCGTGCCACTGCACTCCAGCCTGGGCAACAGAGGGAGGCCCTGTCACTAAATATTATAGGTATATGTAGATAGATAGATATAAACCTGATCATGTCTCTGCTGTATAAATTCTTCGCTTCCCATTGCACTTGGACTAAAATCCAGGCTCCTTCTCATGGCCTAAGTCCCTTGCATAGTGTGGCCCCTGTCAACCTGTCTAACAGGACTTTATACCTTTTTGTCATTCATCATTTCACCCTTTGCTTGCTATAATAGCCCCCAAATACACCAAGCTCTTTCCCACCTTAGGGCCTTCACAAATACTGCTGCTCCTGTCTAATATTCTTTTCCTCAACTCCTCATATGGCTGGCTCCTCATAATTTAGGTCTCAGTTTGTTATATCCTCAGAAAGGCATTTTCCCTGATAATTAAGTCTAAAAGATTCTGCCCTCCCAGCCATCAATGCCACCCCCATTCCAGTCCTCTTATTCAACTTGTAAATTATATATTTCTTAGCTTTACTATCTTTCTCCACAACTAGATTGTAAATTGCATGAGGGCAGGTACCACGTGTTTCTACTACTACTTTACACCAGTATCTAGCATAATGCCTAGCACACAGAAGGTACTCAATATTTATTGAATAAATGAATGTCCACAGGCAAGTTCTAAAATTAGCATTTAAGATCCTCCACAGTCCACCAAAATTGACTTTCAACATACTCTCCACTTTTCCTTTCTGTTGCTCTAAGGTTAAAGCAAACTTTACAATTCCTCCTCATATTCTGAGCTATTCCTGCCTGGAAAGCCCTTCACCACTGCAACTTGCTCTGAATGTATTCATCTTTTGAGGTCCACCTAATCCACAAAACTTTTTTAGTGGACATGTGTTATGACATGGAGTACAGGAGGTACCAGGTTACATCACTGTATTATAAGGCAACTGGCCGAGAGAAGCTGAAATAAAATATGAGGTTAAAAAAATAAAATAGAATAAAATATGAGGTTAGAAACACAGTTCTTGCAATTGTTTGGTTCCACAGGCCAATATATTTGCTTTCTGTTTAAGCGAGTTTGAACTACCTTATTTTTCCCAGCTGTTAGTTATTTCTTTGTCTAAAGTCATATCATATTAATCTAATGGCTCTTAATACCTTTTAACAGAAATGTACTTTTTATGGATCATCTCTTTATTACTACACTCTATTAATCTAAACTTGAGGGGGGATTTGTGATGTGGTTTTTATTATTTGTTTACTGTAATAGTTGACACTTGTTATTTTTGACTGCCTTTCCTCTTTCTTATGTAATAACTTCAGTTTATTTTTGGAGTCTCCTCCTATTAATCAAGATGCCCTGCCCTCCTCTGTCTAAAAGTCAAATAGAGAATGGAGAGGGAACTTGAACCAAGATAGGTCAGTTGGAATTTGAATCATGAGCTGTGATAAATACATATTGGTTGAAGTTCATTCATTGCAACAATCTTGTCTGAATGATCCCCCTCCCTAATTCTTGCTAGAGAGGCCCAATAGGAATATGTAGTTCCTGTTCTTTCAGGGCTGGCTTTACTTATTTTGTGAGCTACTCCATATACTTCTGATAAATTACTTTTTAATTTAAGTTAGCCTGTTTGTTTCTATTGCTTGTAACCAAAGAACCCTAACTGACAACAATATTTAACTGATTTCCCGCTTGTTTTAGTTGCTATTTCTCAACTTTGTGTTTTTGCTATCCATTTAAGAAAAGCTTGTACATAACAGCTACCACTGAATGAGCACCTAACATGCACCAAGTGATTTATATGTATACATTCTTTCCAGTCTTTATAACTCTGTAAGGTAAAAATCTTGTATCAATATGACATTCTCTGATAGGTATTTTTCTAGAGTAAAAAACACTTTTTAGAACTTACAAGATTTCTCTTTTATGGAAACAAAACTAACCCAAAGCTTGTTTCTGAGGACTCTCATTATGCAAACCAATTATCTTTACAGCACAAGGTACACTAGGGTGGTGAATGATACCTTCTATTTCTAGCTATTTGGGGGGGGGTAGGGAGGGGACGTTGAACTCTCATCCAAATTCAATAAACTTGTATCAGCAACTCAAACGAGGCAAAGCTGTATACGATGTAAAAGCACTTTACAAGCTGTAAGATCAATTACATTAGTTTTGGTATTAAAAACTGAATGAAAGGCACTTATCTGTCAAGCCTCCCCAGTTCATGCTAGTTAGAATTCATCAGGATCCCTCCGCTTTAGCACTATATTCATATCACTAATGTGACAAATCCTACCGTGTACGAGGGCGAGGACCATTATCATTTAGTATAGCATGTGCCTGGAATCATGCTTGAATGTAACCAAAACCTGGAAAAGTTAAGGTACCACCTTGGATGAAAAGTAACCGTCCCTAGTTCTGAGGAACAAAGAGGAAACGTTCTCATTCTGATTATCTTTCTGTATAATCGGCAGCAATAAAGCTAAGGTTCTATCTCCTGCTATATCGCAACCCCTTTCCGGAAGGCGGCCGAATATATATTAACCACCATCACCACTGCAAGGGTACAAAAAAGTACTTTCCACCCTTTCCCCCTCCTCCCTTGGTTTGATCGCCCGCAGGTACACAGGCCTCGGAAGCTGGCCCGAGCTCACGCTCGGGCGCCAGACGACGTCACAACGCCCCAACACCTGTCAAAAAGCCCTTCGCACAGAGAGGATCAGAGCTGTGGCTTTCCACCCAGGGTACGATGCAGACCCAACTACCAAAAGTAAAACAAACCGGAGAACCGATCGCCAAAACTAAACCGCCAAGTACCCCCTTTAATTTTAGCGGAGACGGAAGCGGAAGTTCAGGTGAGGTCATAGAGTTCTCTTGTTCCGGTTTCCGGCCGCATTCTGGGATAGAGCGCCTCTCTTCCGCCAGCCGCCCTCGAGGTCCCGGTGGCTTCTATTTCCGGGTGCGGCTTCTGTCATAAAGCGGAGACCTTGCTTCAAACGTGGCGTCGTGGGTCCTTCGCGCCTCGCCCAGGGTCAGCGAGCAAGGACGGGCGCGGGCGGAGGTACCTACAGCCGACAGCTGGAGCCGGTCCTCGCGTCCCGAGCCCGCATGGGCACCTCTGATTTCTCAGAGCCGGCTGGCTTTTGACCTCTCATGATTGAGGGTCCCTGGTTCGCAGCTCCAGGACTGCAGCTTGAGAGGACAGCTCTCCTTCGCCCATACCTGTCCCCCACAGTCACGCTTTGCCCCGTGAGGTGCGGCATTTGACAAGTCACCCCCTCCCCACATACCACCTCCACCCACGTTCGAGTTAACTTCGTTCGCAGGCTCCTTGTTTGAGACCCCTCCCCTCCTCGCCTCCAGACGAGGTTTTTCCCCAGTTCAGTTTCGCCCATAAAATCTCAAGTTTGGAGTTCCGGGTGTCATGGAAGATTATCTTTAAGACTGAGCACCAATTTGATACAAAAAAAAGTTCATGCTTACTAGAGAGTTTGTGGGAAAAGTGAAAGCCAGTACACACAGGAAACTATGGCTGAGCACGGGGCTCACATCACAACTGCTTCTGTGGCCGATGACCAGCCATCCATCTTTGAGGTGGTAGCACAGGACAGTTTAATGACAGCAGTGAGACCTGCTCTTCAGCATGTGGTCAAGGTAAGGTATTATTCTCTGAAAGGTTTTAGGGAAGACTGGATAAAAACCAAACCAATAATTTGTGTTTATTTGGTAGCTTAATGTTTGAAATAACAAATTTGCATACAATTCATATCCCACGTCTCAACTATTACTGAGTCTCTGTTCTGTGTAGAGCCCTGCACCGAATACCCACTGCTTCAGGGAGGTTAGGGGAGACTCCAAAAGAAGTGACTTATTTAAGCTGAAAGTGTGTACAATTTAGAGGAAAAAAGGGAATGGAAATATAAGGTATAGTCGTTATGTAATGGAATGAATTTCATTTATTGATTTATTTTGCTTTAGGTTCTTGCAGAATCAAATCCTACCCACTATGGCTTCTTTTGGAGGTGGTTTGATGAAATCTTTACTCTGTTAGATCTTCTGCTTCAGCAGCATTATCTGTCTAAAACCAGTGCCTCATTTTCTGAAAACTTTTATGGCTTAAAGCGAATTGTAATGGGGGACACTCACAAGTTTCAGAGATTGGCAAGTGCTGGTCTCCCAAAGAAGCAGCTTTGGAAATCAATTGTGTTCCTGGTTCTTCTTCCCTATCTGAAAGTGAAGCTGGAGAAGCTGGTTTCTAGCCTGAGAGAAGAAGATGAATATTCTATTCATCCCCCTTCTTCCCACTGGAAACGATTTTACAGAGCCTTCCTGGCAGCCTACCCATTTGTTAACATGGCCTGGGAAGGCTGGTTTCTTATACAACAGCTTCAGTACATCCTAGGAAAAGCTCAGCATCACTCACCACTGCTGAGGCTGGCTGGAGTTCGGCTAGGTCGACTGACAGTTCAGGATATACAAGCTCTGGAGCACAAACCAGCTGAAGCCAGCATAATACAGCATCCAGCCAGGAGGTAAGACCTTAGCGTTTCAAAAAAAATCTTTCATTAGTAAATCCTAAAATCTTATCCCAATTTTATGAAACTCGTCTCCCTCAAGTCTACTTTGTGGTATTTCATAAAGCAATAGCAAAGTTATTCCTTGTGCCCATAAAACAAGGACTGTCATCCTGGAAAGCTTCCTCATCATACTAGGTACGTTTAGTGCACACTTGCTATGTCCCAGGTCCTGTGGTATGTGTTTGCTTTATGTACATTATTTCACTCCTCATCACAACCCAATAAGGCAAATGTATTAGCTCCATTTAACAGTTGAGGAAACTGAGCCCTAACAGCTAAGTACCTTGCCAAGGCCACACAGCTAAAAGGTGTCAGAGCTGACATTCAAGCCAGATCAGTATAATTCTAAAGGCTGTGCTCTTAATCATGATGCTGTTAGTGCTTCTAGTTTGTGTTTGTGTTCTCCTACAAGTTTAACTATATATTCCTCAATACTCCTAAGTTACTTTTTGTTAAGTGAGTTGGGTTTATTTTTCTAGGTGCGCTATCTTTCATTTTTAAAAAAGTCTATATGATCAAATTTTCTACCAGTTTCTTTCTCAAAACCCTGTTTGTTAAAACAAAGCTTAACTCCTATACTCCTAAAATATTGTAAGTCATTAAGAGGGAATCATTTAGAATAGATCCCTAAGGAGACAGTGCCAATCTAGCAACTTTTTAATCTCCCAAATCAGTGATTCTGATGAAAAGTGTAAACTGCATTTATATTAGTCATTCTAGGATTATACTGAAAACAGTTTCTCTTTGCCTACTTGTTCTCTTCTCCCAACAGTGTTAACGAGAGGATAAAGTCAGCTCTGAAGAAAGCTGTGGGAGGCGTTGCCTTATCTCTTTCTACTGGCCTTTCTGTGGGTGTATTCTTCCTGCAGTTCCTTGACTGGTGGTACTCATCTGAAAATCAGGAAACCATCAAATCACTGACTGCCCTGCCTACTCCACCACCACCTGTGCACCTAGACTACAACTCCGTTTCTCCCCTGTTACCCAAAATGAAGACCGTGTGCCCGCTGTGTCGTAAACCCCGGGTGAATGATACTGTTCTTGCCACCTCTGGTTATGTGTTTTGTTACCGCTGTGTATTTAATTATGTGAGGAGTCACCAAGCTTGTCCCATCACAGGTTATTCAACAGAAGTACAACATCTGATTAAACTGTACTCTCCTGAGAACTGAAAGGGACTAGCATCTTATCTCACAACAAAAGTATTGCACTATAAGGCCATAGGGCTGGTTTTCAGCATACATATCATTGATACTTCTCAGCCTCAATTCATAACTGTATGAACTTTAAACAACTATATGGATTTCTTTAAAAGGATATACCCATTTGATCTTAACCTTTTAGTCTGCTCTCTAGAACCCTACTTACATATAATTCACCAAGCTAGTTGAAGTAGGAGAATCAGTATTGGCAGAAGATGTGAGGGCCAGTGTAGACGAAGTACAGATAATTAGTATGGAAGTTTTGCCTATCCCTTTACTTAAAGAGTAAGAGGTATAGAATAGCTCTCAGGAAAAACCCAGGTTAGACCTCATACAAAAATAAAGTAGATGGTGATGGGGGAGCAGACCTTCTCTTTAGAAAAGAAAGCATTTATCTGCCTGTGAGGTGGAGATTTTTATCAGTTTGCAAACCATATGAAACAATGGACCTGCTGTTTATAGAAATGCTTAGAAACACTTTAGGAAAAAAAATACAGCTCCTTCCACATACTGTGACCCATTTGTTAAAAATCCAGCTCCTTCCATATACTGTGACCCATTTGTTAAGTGACATCTGCTGTAGACTATCAACTTTTTCCCCACTTCTCCACAGATGGTTTATTCCTGAGACTATATTTGGATCACATCTGCAGAGCAGGGATGAACTGTGGGCTTGAGGATGGAAGTGCTGAAGAGACTGAGATACAACCCAGGTCATTCTGGGAATTGGCCCCAGGATCCAACTAGAGAGAGACAGGGTCAGCCCACTGTCAGGGAAGAGGATCCTGATTCCAGGAGACAAATTTATTAACTTTTAAAGATTTCCTTATGAGCCATACATATCTTTCTTGGGAAATTTGTTAAAAGAGAATAGGGCTCAAATGTTTATATATAGAGTAGTCTAAAAATTTCAGTGTGAAAGCAAAGCTAACATGCAATGAAGAGATTAAGTAAAACTAACTGGGTAAAGAAAGGATCTTTTAATAAGCTCGTTCTGCTTCTTAAGAGTATGCTAAGCTGTCATGAATTATTCTGGTTATTACTAAAGTTTCTATGAAACAAGTAAATTTTAAGAATAAATGTTTCTGGCAAAGAACTGTTCCATGTTGTCATAATTATATGGAAACTTAAAGATTACTTGGGGTGTTTAAAATGGCAGGCTAGTAAAAACATGGGCTTAAGAAAAAAAAAACATCATTACCGGAAGGAAAGATGACAGTAATTTGTAAGTGCCTCTGTAGAGATAGGTGTTTTCCAATACTTTAACTCATTTTAGCAATCCAAAGCACATTCTCTGATAGCGCAAAGATGTGAAAGCTAAATTTTGAAATACAATATCCTATGGATTTTAAAATATTAAAATTTTCATATACCATAAGTATAATGGATATTTTAATAATTTTTGTTAAACCTCAAAGGTTTTACCAAAACAAATACGATAGTTAATTAAGCAAAGCATTTTTAATACAGTAATAAGTCAATAAGAGAACTGAACCAGATTCGGGATTGAAATGATGTGGTCCTCCACGAAGATTTCAAAGCCAGATTTTTCACCTCAACCTAAGGAAAACATGAAAGTATCAGTAATTCAAATGAATATAAAAGAAACTTATACATAATAAAACCAGTATCCAAATAGGGTACAACAGACCTGTGTGGAAAAACCACAACCAGAATCAGCTCAGAGAGAAGATTAAGGGATCATACCCTGGTCAAAGCCAACACTGAAGCAATGGCAATACCAGGTCAGACTCTACTTCACTCATCATCGCATCATTGCAGTCCAGTGCCCTGTTTTCACATCCAAGAAAACTTAGGCTTACCTATGAAAAAAATAAAGGCTTCTTTTTAGATAAGTTTCAACCATGGGTTTTCAATTAATATTTCATTTTCCATTATGCTTTCCTTTAAGCAACTGTGCTATACAAAAATGAAAACTTGAACAAGTTTTATTTGGGGAGGTGCGGGGGAGGGTGTGGACTTTGGTTTGTTTTTGAAGTACAGAGGAGACTGGGGAAGCATCTGTATTCAAAAATATTTTTTTTCCTAATGAACCCAAACACCATGCATGATAAAATCTCAGGCATTTTCATGAAGAGACTTACAGCCTAGTTCTAAAGCAAAAGCTTTGGGGAAGGTTTTCTACTAAATTTCTTTATAAACTCCAGTTCATTTAGTACACAATTTACAATTCTGCTGCCAAAAAAGATAAAAAGTACAGTCATAAAATTTTTATTCTTCTTAAGATTTTCTTAAAATTTTATTCTTCTTAAGAGTCCAAGAACCTAGAGAGGCTATGATTTGCCAAAGGTCCACAGCAAGTTAACAGCAGAGCTAGAAAGAGAACTGAGATCTGTTTTTTGGGTTTTTTTTTTTGAGACAGAGTCTCACTTTGTTGCCCAGGCTAGAGTTCTGTGGCATCAGCCTAGCTCACAGCAACCTGAAACTCCTGGGTTCAAGCAATCCTGCCTCAGCCTCCCCAGTAGCTGGGACTACAGTCATGCACCACCGTGCCCAGCTAATTTTTTTTCTATTTTTTTAGTAGAGACGGGTTATTACTCTTGCTCAGGCTAGTCTGGAACTCCTGAGCTCAAACAATCCTCCTGCCTCAGCCTCCCAGAGTGCTAGGATTATAGGCCTATGAGCCACCACCTCCAGGCTGAAAACTGAGATCTGATTACCAGATTCATATTTTTCCAGTAACAGCTAAATAAAAGGTTGAATTTCATTTTTTTTCAGGCTCCTACCTTTAGATTTACTAATGAGGGAGGCCATGAGCAAGATAAAGAAAGCAAGGCAAAGCCTGGGTAATTCACAACCTGAAGAACCAATTTCTGAATCAGAAAGCTGACTGCGTTTCATTTACTCCAAATGACACTTTCTAGTGGTATATCATCGCTGACATGGAAAAGTACCAGGATCACAAAGTCACCCTCTTCGGACTTTCAATATGACATTGCCAGTATCTAAATAACAGTTCTGGAGCCACCATATACTTCTTTCAGCCATTTATAAAGGTCAATAGACTGATACTCCATAATTAAAATCTGACAGATGTTGGTCTGTGTTCACCATTCAGACAGGGAAACTAACTTATGGAGTGGCCTGTTATACAAGGGCTATGCTTGACCCTTTAGCTTGTCATCTGCTACAAGTGAAATAGGTACACATTAGAAGTAAGTAAACAGGCTGAGAGAGCTTAATTATTTAGATAACTCTGCCTAAAATCATGAAATTTGTGAGCAGAGCCAAGCTCTTAACCAATGAGTGCTTGACTTTAAAGCCCATGTTCCTTCCACCAGACAATACTGCTGTCTCACTGGGTCTCCTGCCTCCAGTTTCCCTCCCATCCTGAATATACTCTGAATATTACTCACATACTAACATCGATATATGGAAGTGTGATTATGTCATTACTCACAAGCGTTCGATTGCTCTCCATGGTCCAGGAAATAAAGTCCAAACTAGTTTGCTTAGCAATCAAGATATTTCAAAACTAACCTAAATTTATCCTTCACAAATGCCACAACCCTAAAATGTACCTTACAGTCTAACCAAGCCAGACTATTCTTTAGTTCTCAAATCTGCTCTATTTGACCTTGTGCCCTCCATCCAGAAAGCCTTTCTTTCCTTCTGTAGAAACTCTTGTACTTCCAAATTCTACCTCTCCAGTTTTGTGACACTCCAAAATGCCACCTTTTCTGCATGAAGATTTTCTCCATCAAGCCAACAGGAAATATCCTCCCTCTGATTTATGGAAGCACATTATGCCTGTTTTGTGGTACCTATTTCACTTTGTATTTGAAGATCCAGACAGACAGCCTAAAATGGAATTCAAGATCTTTAAAAGTCTTCCCCCTACGTATCAGCTTCATCTTGGCCCTTGGGCAAACCCCCCACACACACGTGCTCCAGCCATACACAGTAGGTACAATTTTCTAGTTCTCTGCCTCAGTACACTTAGCTCACCTGGAGTGCCTTCCCCACCCCTTTCAATAAGTAGAAAGCCTAATTACACTTTCAAAACTTTACTCAAATGTCACCTTCTCTGTTAAGATTCCCTAACTCTTTCAAGCATCCCCTCCTCTGACTCCCACAGCACTTTCTTCCACCACAGCACGCGTCACACGCCAACTACTCACCAGTTCCTGTTTTCTCTCCCTCTACCTCAATCACACTGAGTTACTAAAGAACCAGAACTGTGTTTTGCTGGCCTTTGTAGCCTCCGCACTCACAATGGTGCCTGGTACACAGAATGCGGTTCAATAAATGAGTTTTATTCAGTCAGGGAGCGACCCTCCCTACTAAACCAGCGCAATTTATAAAGCCGACTTACCTCCAACATTTCACGTAGGTAAAGACCATACCTCAAGCATCTCCAAGTCCTCATTCCCCCAGCCTCTACCTCATGGCGCTCTGCACAGCTCCCTGTGCAGAACGACCAATGCTTACACACGGTAGACCCTCAAAAATAATAGTAATGATGATGATAATGATAAGGTACAAACTAAAGTCGCTCTTGCCGGGAAACATGACTAAGGCCGTAACCAGGGCTCAAACCAAACAGCCGGGCAGGAGTCTGCATCCGCTTTCCGAACTCCTAAAACTCCTACGCCCTGGACTCTCTCAGGAGGCCCGCGAAGGATGAAGGCAGCCCAGCTCTGCAGCTTGCGGGCCCGAACCATACCTGCTTCCCGCGTCCCATTCTCCTCTGCCTCGCTGGCCAGCCCGGGTCCCACAGCCCAGCGCGTCACTCTCCAGACAACCAATCCCACGGCGGTCTTCGGGTCACGTGGTGCGAGGAGCAGCCAATCGGAGGCCGGGGAGAACGCCAGGGGTGGAGCAGGCGGGACGACAGACGTACCATTAGCGTCGCGTCGCGTCGTTTCTTTGCGTCATGGTCTCTGTCCTGAGAGTTAGTTCTGTCGCTTTCCGTATTCTGAACAATTCTTTTCTTTTTTCTTTTTTTTCT